GAAAATTTACAGAGCCAGAAACTTTTGGTTCCCGCCATTCTGTGAATGCATTGTATACTTCAATTTCGTGTAACATACTGAAGTAACAACTATAAAGCTACATATTTTGTTGACATGGTTTCTGGTGGTAGGTTTTCATGATGGATATTCTTTAATAACTTTTTTCATAATTCATGTCATCATAGCTACAGATCATGTATTCCAAGTTAAAACTGTGCTTATGTTATTTGGGGAGTTCTAAGAGAGATTAGTGAAGCAGAGGTGAGGTAGTGGGACTTGTCTGACCCAGATACAGCCCATTACTAGGATAAAACCATTCTTTATAAAAAAAATGACAAAACTATTCTTTAAAACCATCTTTTTATCATTACTATGTATCCACTGTTCTAAGTAATGTCACTGATAAAATATTCCTCAAATCCTTTGTTGGCTAAGTCCTAAATAATTGAAATTACTAAATTTTTATATATAGAAAATATACACATATGTTTATTAGCTGTCCCATTGCTGAACACAATACTCAACACTCACCTCTTAAAGGAGGCAAGATTTAATTTGGCTCACGGTTTCAGGAGCTCAGTCCATGGTAAGCTGACTTTAAGACAGACATCATGGCAGAAGAGTGTGGTGGAGCAAATCTGCTTAATTTATGGCAGCCAGGAAGCAGAGCAGTGGAATAGCACCGGAGAGACAAGAGCCACACCTCTCTGACCCACCCCCACACACCCAAAAGTACATGACAACAGTCTTCTGGTAGTTCCCAAGCCCATAAGGTTGACACAATCAAGCTTCAGTTTGGCCCACATATTACTTATCCTTTAGTAATACACGTGGATACATGGTAGAATTCATTTCCAGAGTAGGGTCTTAGCAGTTTGGAATCCTTCCACCAGGTGAAACTTTACCTGGTGCAGGTAAGAGTCAGCAGCCCCCATGTGCTACCTCTTCCACTCCTTAAAACAGATTTGTACATGAGCAGCAGCATCACACAGTGATCATGAAGACCAAGAAGTTGGGTACTTCAGTTCTCTCATTCTCTTGTTTCTCCTTTTGGAGTCTGTGTTTACAATTTTAAACAGCTGAAATAGAGTGCTAATTATAATGGAAATAATGATCCACTCTAGTTGTCAAATTTCCTAGGTTTGCCACTACTGTCAGACAGCTACTTTGACTTCTGCAGACAAACTTGTAAGGATGGAAATGTGACAGTTGTGAAAGCTTCAGCAGCTCAGGGTCGTGCTGAATACCAGTCTAAACTTGGTTAATGATTGATTAATGGTTTTAAATTGTGTGTATTGACAGTTTATTTTGTGTATTTTAAGTAACTTGAGGTTGACATTGTCTTTTTGTAGAACTAGGGATTGGACTCAGGGCTTTCGTACTGAGCTTTCATCCCTAACCCTTTTGTATTTATTGTGAGACAGGGTCTCACTAAGTCACAGACTTGCCTCCGCCTTCAGAGTGCTGGGATTACAGTGTATGCCACCATGCAGGCTGAGGTTGATACTTTTTAATAACGATTTCACTCCTTTACTTTCCCGCCTCCCCGCCCCCGTCATTTACTGCCTGAGTTTCCTCTCACACGTCCCTTCTTACACCACAAATGCCGAATTGCTTAGGTCCTTGACCAGTCTTTCAAAACAATTTGATATTTTAAAAAGCTTATTTAAATTACCACATTAAATTGCAGTATTAACTCCCAAAGCCTTCATAGCACATGATTACTCCTCTTCAGAGCTACAAGTTTCTTAAAGTTGAAAGAAAAAAAAAAATTGCCAGTAGCCACTTTTCCTGCTCAACATAAATTTGTTATTACTGCATTGTTGGAAAACATCCCAAATACTCATGAGTAGGACATAATTTATGGTACATCTGTATAGCCGAACAGCATGCAACCCTGAAAAAGGACAGCTGTTTGTATTTTTAAAATTACTGTCCTTGGGCTGGGGATTTAGCTTAGTGGTTCTGCCACCTGCCTCACAGGCGCAAAGTCCGGAGTTTGATCCCTGGTACCAAAACAAAATGACTGTCCTGCTGTCAGTACTATTCAAGTTTTAATATGGGTTTTTATAAAGCAATATTTATGAAAGTGAATATAGTTGTGCTGTTTGTGCAAAAAATGTGTATAGTTGAATATCTGCTAATATCTCTAAAAGGACCCTGGAGAGATGGGTAGCCCTGGTTACTTCTGGTGAGGTGGACAATTTCATAGGTAGAAGTAAAGCTGTACACCCATTTTACAGTTTCTCTCCCCTTTACTTAGCATATACACTGAAACTTTTTTTAAAATGCTGAGACCATTTGACATAAAGTACATTATAGAGGCCGGGGATTTAGCTCAGTGGTTCTGGCGCCTGTCTCGAAAGCACAAGGTCCCGAGTTCGAGCCCTGGTCCCCCCCCCAAAAAAATAAATAAAGTACATTGTAGTAGAAAGAGCATGCAAGTCCCAGCCGATAAAAAGAACATCACTAATATTCCCTGCACTGCAAACACCTGACACTTTGCAGGGCCATATGTTCCAGGACGTGATCAGAGCAGGCCAGGGCGGTTCCTGCAGCCTCCCCTGGGTGCAGCCCGCTGGTCAGTTCAGTACCCTGAGCTCTCCAGTGTCTGGATGTCAGGGCACTTTTCTCTCTGGCAGCTGCAGCGTAGCTTGGGAAGCTCAGGTGCAGATTGCAGCCAGGCCAAGGCCTCACTTCCCACTTCGCTGCTCTTCTGTGGAGCCAAAGGTTGAACCTTTGAAAGTGAGAAGAATGCACCTGAGGGGTTTTTATTTATTTATGACCGATGTCCCATGCAGTTCCAAAGAGCAAAATGTGAGAAAGCTTACTGCATTTATGGATGGTGTGAAACCAGACAAGTGCAAGCAGAAGCAGATTGGAAACCAGTAAAAGGAGCCGCACACTGGTTGTTAGCAGCTGTTAGACGCACCTGGGACAAGAAATTACTGTAGTTGAACACTAAATTGAGCTTAAGATTTCTTAGCACATGAGGTGAAAAGGGGAATATGTAGAGAGTAGGTTCTCTCTTTTAAGGCAGAAAATCTGAAGTTTTGTCAAAGGGGATGGACACGTTCCTGATAATGCAAAAAATTCATACGCAAGTCTTTATTTAAAAATACACAGGATTAAAAAAATATATACAGGATGACTCATATCTTCATGGTGGTTAGTACCTGAAAAGGTATTGAAATTAGCTAGTCCAAATGTGCTAAATCTCACAAAATAGAAGATCCCATTTGAGTATTGAATCCACCCACCTGTCTCAAGAGCCATTATGCTATTCCACGAATCGTCCGTCCTCTTGCATTTGGATGGCTATACTGGCCTGCACATCTGAGTCCATACATTCTTTCTCTCTTCCCAGTCTTCTCCAAACTGTGGTTAGAGACGCCTCTTGCATCTGATCCCATTAGCAGTCACTGCTGCTATCCTGTCTGCTTGGAACGCCTCGGTCCCTTTGCTCTCAGGATGGAAGATCCGACCCTCCATCTTCCGGCTCCTCTGCCATACTCTCTCCTTCACTGTTTCCGTCCCACCCACCCTTTCACAGTCCTGCTTTCTGGCTCTGGTTTCTCCTTTGGAGATGGTGTTGCCTAACCATGTCCTCTTTGGATCCAGGCTGCATAGCATCAGAGAGCTCCTCCCCACTGTTTGTTCCCGTGTCCCTCTGTGCCTCTTTCCGTGGGGCTTCCCGCTCAGCCTTTTGCCCTCCTTATTGAATCATTAGCCTCAGGAGAGCAGGCACTGGCCCAGCCTTTGCTCACTCTTCTCCCCAGCTCTCCACACAGTGCCTGGGATGTGGGAGCAGATCAGCAGGTGATTAGTGACAGCCTGCTGCTGTGATGCTGAGATGGGCTTCCACAGACAGGGTGGTTTATATAAATAACAAATCTATTCCTCACATTTCTGGGATCTGGGAAGGCCAAGTTCAAGCAGCCAGCATCTGATGAGGCCTCACTGCGGCCTCACGCTGTAGAAAGCAGAAGTTGTAAGAGAGACAGCTTGTTCCTGGAAGCCCTTTTTATACAGGCTTTAGTTTGCTTGTGAGAGCAGAATCCTAAATACCTCTCAGAAGGCCCCATCACCCAACACTGTTGCTTAGGGAATTGAGTTTCCAACCCACAAATTTGGGGGACACATGCAGATCATACCAGTGACCTAAATACTGCAGTGGCCCCACCTCCAGTAGACCTTGTACCCTGCAGAGACCATACACAATCCTCAGCCCTTCTCTGCATGTTGCCATCTTTTTTTTTTTTCTTTTCTTTTTTGTACCGGGGATCAAACTTGGGTCCTCGGGCTTGCAAGGCAGGCAGCAGAACCACTGAGCTAAATCCCCGGCCCCCATGTTGCCATCTTAACCATCCCTTAATTATGCCCTTGTTAGAAGCAGTGGCTTCCATTGTCTGCATTCTGGTGTTTTTGACGCCGTATTTACCATCTACCCACATGGTAGTTATTTTATGTACCTATCTCCCACATTCAGTTGTAGCCAAGCCCTATATAGGATCTAGCATCAGCCTCCCACGGCAGGTACTTGAGAAAAGTGGGTGGAATGCATGGCACTTACTTAGCATCTTTGTAAGACATTTTCCTCCTCTGGGTGATGAGATTTCTAGTAAAGTTTCTGTTGGACATATGTAGCACACGGCTAGTTGGCTGTGGAGTCTCGTTATTTTTCAGACTCTAAAAATTAGTGAATGTGAATTCATGTCCTGCTCTCTGCATGCATCTCAGAGATCTGTGGATATATTGTTGCAAGAAACAATGTTATTCTGTCACTGAATGCAAGAAAGTAAAACAGAATAGATACAAGGCGCAGGTCATTTCCAGGAAGGACTTTCCAGGTCAGCACCCTCTATGGAAAGTGACTGCTGGACCCTTGTTTCTAGAGGGACATCTCTGAGCCACCTCCTAAGCCACCGGCCACCTTTCCCTGCTTGTCACTGTGACACCTGGGATGAGAGAATAACCCACCCCCATTTCCTTTCCAACAGGCCGACTTAAACTGCAATATTCAAGATGATGCTGGGGCTTTTTATGGTGTAACCAGTCAGTATGAAAGTTCTGAAAATATGACAGTCACCTGTTCCACCAAAGTGTGCTCCTTTGGGAAGCAAGTAGTAGAAAAAGTAGAGGTAAGTTGGCCTCGGCAGACCAGAAACTTCATTCCAGGGCAGCTGCTGCCTTCCCTTCACGTGCACAGGGGCAGAAAGTCGCACCTTTTGATGTCCTCTCCTTTCCCTCCCCTTTTCTCAGTCTTTCTTCTGTTGCTTCTAAAAGGCAGAATGATTCAGAAGCACTTGAAAGCAGGTAGGAAGTCCCGCATCAGCCCTCTCTGTGTCTGAAGTTGGCACTGTCCAGCCGCCTGTTCACCTTGGTGTGAAGCCTCCTGAGGCTCTGGGAGGGAAGTGGGTCAAAATGGGCCTTGGCACCTACCCGAAGGTCCGGGTGCACCCAGGCATGGTGGAGAACCGTCAGGGTGTCTGCAGCTGATTGGCTCCTGCCTTCTGAAACCCAGACATCTTGATTTTGATATTGTTGCTTTTGCCATTTCCACTCTCTTCCTTTTAATTGTTTTAAATACATTTAATTCTATATTAGGATCAAATAACTCCTTACAGCTTTTACGTTTCCTTTCTCCCTCCTATTAACAGCGATGTGTTATCAGGATTTATTTGACTGATTACAGTACTAGGGATTGAACCCAAGACCCTTGCAATGAGCTACGTTCCCCCCCCCCCTTTTAATTTTGCAACAGAGTCTCCCTAAGTTGCTCAGGCTGGGCTCAAACTTGTAATCCTCCTGCCTCCACCTCCCAGAGTGCTGGGATTTCCTTTTGTCATTCCCTTTGAAGTTGTGCTTTCCACCCTGCCTGCCTCACAAGTGCAAGGTCCTGAGTTCAATCCCCAGTACCAAAAAAAAAAAAACGGTGCTTTCCAGTGTCTTCTGCTCTTCTGCCTGCCCGAAGCCAGTCCTTGTTAGTGAATAGTTTTTATTTGCACCAGGTCCAGGTCCCTTAGGACTAGGAGTCTAGTCGGACAGTGGCAGAGGCTTTGCACTGCGGTGTGAGAGAGGACGCCTTGCGGGGAAGGTGTGTTTGTTAAGACCTGGCCCCCGGCTTGCTGAACACAGGGTGGGGTTTGGGACAGTAAGGCAGAAGAGGATACGAGTGAGGAGATTTGATTGTCACTTAAGTGTGGGGGTCAGGAGCTTTCCTGACATAGTGTCTATAAGAAATTGCGAATGGAATTTAGTAACTGACTGGAGATTAAAGAGGAGGGTTAACAAATGAAAAGTGAGAAAATAAATTTAAAAACCTTACCCAAACACTGGAAGAAGCAGTGATGGTAGGTCTCCTTGTATAGCTATGCTGTTAGCCATAGTTGCTGGCAGTTTGCCACTCAGTATTGTATTTACTGTTGCCTTTTATACTAAACTGCTATCTTTTGTATTTTACCTGGGATTTTTATTAGGAATAGCTAAATTATTTTTGCAGTTCCCTTTCAGAAACTCTTGCTACATTTTTCTCCAGTTTTTTTCTATAGGTTGAGTCAATATAGATTATGAATATGAACCCCACAGCGTTCTGAAGAAAGTCTCACTTCAGATAAGTTGCTGGCTTCTGCTTGCCAGTGTTTCACATAGGATTTTTACATCTCCTAAGGGATATTAGGCCAGACTTTTGTTTTTTATAATCTCCTTATCAAATTTCAGTATTGAATGTACATTTGCTTCATAAAAAGAATTGAGGTGCTTATCTTTTGAGGAGGCCTACCATAATTTAAAGGAAATTGTTAATAACTGTTCTTTTAAAAGTTACATAAAGCTTACCTATAAAACAGTTTGATCCTCATGCTTTTTTTTTTTTTGCATGTCTTTAATTTTAATGAACAAATTAAATTGTACATATTTATTGCATGCTGTGTTATATTTTGAAGTATTGCACACATTGTGGAAGGGCCAAATTGAGCTAATTCCCTTATGTAATACCTCTTTTGTGGTGACAGCGCTTAAAATCTTGCTTGACATTTTTCAAGAACCAAACACTCTGGTATTAGCGTAGTCACCATTGTATAATAGATCCCTTGAGCTTACCCTGCCTGGCTGTAACATCGGGTCCTTTGTCATCTCCATCTTTCCAGTGGTAGATTGCTAAGCAGATATCTAATCCTGGTCCTTTCCACAGTTAGCGTTCTTTCGACAGTTTCTACTTTTTGGGGTTCAGTATTTGCAGTTGGTGTTTTCTGAAAAACATCTCTGTTCTCTAGGTTTGCTTTGCTTTGTTTCCCCTAAAGTTATGTGACATACCCTCTTCTAATCTCCTATAATTGCCATTTTGCTTCTTATCTTTAGTCTCCTTTTTTTTAAGCATGTGAGGGTTTATTTTGTCTTTTTAAAGAACCAGTTTTTAAATGCACTCTGTCCACATTTTAAATTTGTTTCATTGATTTGAGCTTTTATCATTATTAATTTCCCATTCCTGGTTTTCTTTTATTCGTGGTTTGTTTTTCTTTTATGGGTTTTTTAAAAAAATTGTTTAATGTGTACCTAGTTCTGCAGCTTTTCATTGTTATGACATTTGAGACTGCTTCACTAAGTTTCATCAAGTAAAATTTTATTGTGTCCCATAAGTTTAGATGTGTTTTTCTTCTCACTGATCTTTATGGAGCTTATAATGTCCTTTTTATTTCTTTTTTTCATCTATAGTTATCTGGAAACATTTCTTATATTTAAGCATTTCCTTGCGGTCTTCAAGCTGTGTGTAGATTAGTCCATTCTTCTTTCCTTCCTTCCTTCCTCCTCCCATCCAGGGCCTCACAGTCAGTTCAAGGTAACCAGCTTTTCCTGAGGTTGAGAAATTAGTTGTACTGCTGTTAAGCAAGGAAGGCTTATCACAGAGAAAAGGGATTTCTTCAGGTTCTTTGAAAAGTTCTGACTTCCAGGGGCCTGTTCTCACTGATCTCCTTCAGGCAGAGAATTACTAAGCAGGATGCTACAAGTTTTTGTTTTGTTTAATGTACCAATTTCCCACAAGGCATGTAAACATTATGTACTAAAAATCTACTGATAAAAAAAATCAAAATGTTCTTTAGCTACCATCTTTTTACCTATTTTTTCTAATTCCAGGAAAATTTGTATTATGGAATAATGTGGAGATAAGTTTTTGTATATTGTTTAGGCTGGGAAGGACAGCAAGTCACATTGACACAGACAAGCTCTGGCTTGCCATTTTAGTATCAACAAACCTAGACAAAATTTTTGCATCAAAATGTGTTAGGAGCCAAGGATCTAGCTCAGCGCCACAGCGCCTGCCTGGCCAAGGGCAAGGTCCTGAGTTCAATCCCTGGTACCAAAAGAAAAGCATCGAGTACAAAATTCAAGGAGTTTCAGAGCAGTTCAGTACCAAGGTATGGCTGCAGTGGCTGTTCCTGGCATTTTGAAGTCACAAGTGTGAACATGTTCAAATCCTTTTGTCCTTACAGACAGAGTATGCAAGGTTCGAGAATGGCCGATTTGTATACCGAATAAACCGCTCCCCGATGTGTGAATATATGATCAACTTCATCCACAAGCTCAAACACTTACCAGAGAAATATATGATGAACAGTGTTTTGGAAAACTTCACAATTTTATTGGTAACGGTTTTGTCTCTTTCCTATCTTGGCAGACTCTTGTTGACTGTGAGGGAAGTGGGCTGGGGAGGCATCGAGACTTCCATGGCTGCCACCTGGGCCCCCACTGGTCAGCTAGCAGTTCAGTCACAGCCTGTTTAAGCACTTGGGTCACATTTGGGCTGGAATCCATAGAAGGGAAGGGCTCTCACCTGGCTGGGGTGACTAAGCTGGCAGAATGGGAATTTGGGTAGGTGATAAAAGTAGCCCTGGATTATCAACTCTGGTTGCTCATTAAAAAGACCTGGGGCCCTTATAAAAATCAGGCTGCATCCTAGGTGAGGTACATCAGGATCTCTGCGGGTAGGACTCAGGTGTGTGCATTTCTTTTAAGTTCCCCTACAAAATTCTAGTGTTAGCCAAGTTTATCACAGCAGCTGTGTGGAATAAATATCATAAGTAAAACAAAAGCTGAGTTGATAGGGTTGTACTTCAAACATACCTTGACTCATTTCATGAAGGCCTTGAAAGAAGTAACATGCCTTAAAAAAGAAAATAGAAGAGAGATATATATATATATATATATAAGAGAAATATAAATTAGAATGGAGTGCAATGACCATGAACCAAAGGAAAATGTCCTTCATAGACTGAAAAATATGGGCCAAACTTAAAGGCTAGCTGCAGAGAAAGGAAGAGGCACTAAGTACCCGAGATCCATGAAAGGAAAGCTCCCCTGGACCCTGAACAGTGGGATATATGTGGGGTTTCCTCTAATATTTAACTTTAAAACACGTTTCTCTTGGGGACTTCACTTGAGATTTGGAAAAATTATTAAGAACAGTGTTGTTCTCAAAGTATATTTATAAAAATGCAGTAATGAGTTTCCCAAGGCTTGTTTTAAAAAAATAACATTCCTCGATTAAACTGAAGGGAAAGTGCCAAAAAAAAAAAAACTTTGTGGAAACAGTTTTGCTAAAAAGGCTATATTGTGGTCAGATGCTCAGCTCCATGAAGGCCTGCCTTATTACTCTTTCATGAGGATTAAAAACTAGAAGATTTATAATAGGAATTCTTTACCTGTTGTTTTGGTTCCGTTAGGGCAAGTGGCTCTCAATCAACGATGTACTGGTTTTAAAAAAAAACCTTTCCCAAGCTCCCCACCCCACTCCAGAAGTCTGTTTTATACCTTTACATTTTTTCTGTTACTGTGGTATAAATACCCCCCACTCTAGGCAACTTCAAACTGTGGTTATCCAGCACACAAAATGCCTTCATATTTAATAAGAACTTACCTGAGCCAATAGAGGTAGCTCCCTTATACCACTGTTAAATAGATAGTTTAAAAATTAAAGCCTTTTGCATATTAGGTTCTTCCAGGGGGCTTTTTAAAAATCTGAGGGTGAGGAACCATTCCAGATAAATAAAATCAGAATCCAAGGACTGGGGCCCCGCATCATGTTTTTTGTTTGCTTCTGAAGCTTTTCAGATAGTTGTAGCATGTAGCCAGGACTGAGCCACGATGACAGGCAACTGGCAGAGGAGCCACAGGGAGTCCCAGAGCTCATAGACACCTGATTGGCCTGCACCTGGCAGACATAAGCTTAGCATAGGCATTTCATGTATTCTAGGGGAGAGAATGTCCGTGGATTCTCAAATGTGCCTTGTGCCTCTAAAATTTATAGAGACCAGTCTGGGGAAAGTTTTAAAATACCTGCTCTTTCATTGCTGTTTGTTAGTGTCCTCGTCTCTAATGATCTTTTGGTGAAAGCAGAGCAGTCCACAGCCTGAGTGCTGGCAGGGGCCAGGGACTGTTCACAGAGGTGATCTCTGCTGCTATTGCAGCAGCCCCTCAGCACTCTGGCGAGCAGTTGGAAGTGGGCATCCTACTGTGGCCTTTAAACAGCAGAACCAGGCAGAACCAAAACTGTTAGTGCATGGCTCCCTGCTTCCCTGGAGGGAGTCTTCACTGTTGCTTAAAAGCCAGCCCTGTGTCTGTTTCTGCATGTTAAATAAGATGACATCCCTAGTCCCTGACACTTGACCGCCAAGATCTCAGCTGGGGTAAATATGACCAGGAAATGGCACGGCACCTGTTTCCCACAAAGCCCAGGTAACTTGTAGGAATGACACACATGACCTCAGCCAGCATAGCTGTCCAGGGATCTCCAGGGGTTAGATTAACTTCAAAATGAGTTACTGAGCAATTAAATATATTTCTTTGATATGAGGGATTCAAAGGTGTCAAATATCCACTAGAAAAGATGTAACCTCAGAAAATCTGAAATTAAGCCAGCACTCCTGGATTATGAAAATAAAATCATCTAATCATCCTAGTGATGACAGAACAGAGATAGCAGTTGAACAGTGGGCAAAGTATTTCTACTGTTGTCTCACACGGTAGTTCAGGCTGGCTTTGAATTTACTATGTGGCCAGGCTGGCCCTGGTCAACATGACCCTCCTGTCTCAGCCTCCCAAGTGCAGGAACTACCATGCCTGGCTCTGTTGTCTTTTGAGGTAATATTCAGACATACAGGCTGATGAAAACATTTTGTTTTCATTTCTCCTTTGAAATCTCAATCACAAAAACAAATCTAAAAATATTATTTTCTAGGTAGTTTGTGAGAAAATAGGTTTCAGGCACTGTACCCTATAAGCTTTATAAATGTTGTATTCTGAAATTCTCACTGCAAAATTATGAGATCATTTTTATTCCCATTTTTATGGGCATAAAAGTGTTAGAGCTACCCAAGGTCACAAAGCCAATGACAAATGCAGATTAAGACTTGAACTGACAAGGCTGGAGATTTAGCTCCGTGGTTCCACTGCCTGCCTCGAACGCACAAGGCCCCGAGTTCGATCTCCATTACCAAAAAAAAAAAAAAGACTTGAACTGACAGAAAAGACACTTTGCAAGATCTTTTATGATCATGAAATCAGAAGACCTGGGCTTCAGACCCAACTCAACTTTATGACCTTGGGTAAGTCATTTAAGGCCTTTAGAACTCAAGTTCTGCCTATATTTACAAACAAGATGCTCACATCTGCATTCTCCACTTAAGTGGTGACCACTGAAAATGCTTTAATTCATTCAGCTAAACCACAAGGAGATTGGATTAGCTGCTGGGAAACAGAGCAAATGATATGCAGTTCAAGTACCATAGTAACTCATGGCCTGATAGGGTGAAAAAGGAAGCCATTCCGATACCAGGCAGTGATGGCTGTGGCTTGGGAAGCAGGCACCATGGAAGCACAGGATGCTTAAAAGATGGTATCTTGGTAGATAAGCATGCATTTTTCAGATTTACCAGTTATCCTTAGGTGTCAGGTGTCGGGGATGCTGTGGTGAACTGAACAGGTAGGGCAGCCATCCTGGGGTCTGATAGGGAGGCGGGCATTAGTCTTGTCATCACTCAGTGAATGGGAACTGAAAATGTACCTGGCAACTGGCAGAGGGAATCAGCACTGAGAGCGTATGGATAATAGGATTTAACCTACTTTTGGGGGTTGGGGAGGCTGCCTGATGAAGAAACAGTTGAGGGAGATCTGCCAGTAAATAGGCATCCGAAAGCTAATTAACCAGGAGCAGATTAACCCCACAGCTTCTCCTCTGTCACAGGGGAATAATAATAGCATGCATTCATAGAGTTTTAATGTCCTAAGAGACAATCTGTGTAAAGCATTTAATAGCCGGTAGATGTATAGTAAGCACTCAGTATATGTTGCCTATTGTGTGAATTTCCATTCATTCAGCAAATGTTTATTAAGTGACTGTCTGCCACAGTAAGCTAGTTACTAGGAAATATGGTCCCAGTCCTTCAGGAATTTATACTCCTAGATGAAATGGATATTTAAAAAAAAAAAATCTCACAAGTGCATAGGGAAAATCAGAGCTTTAGTCAGAGACCATAAGCTTAGATGACTTACAGGCAAGGACAACTTCACAGGGGTGAATCAACCTGATCCGTCAGGAGAAAGTTAAATCTAGACAAGCCAGACAAGGTTTTCAGATTCAGAATGTTTTCAAACACAAAATTCAGAGTCTCTGAAGCATTTGGGTGGGGCGTTGGATCATATTTGCTTTTAGAAGGTTCTCTGTGAAGATGGCTCGGGGACCTGACACAGTGAGGTGGGGGAGGTTGCGGGGTGTTGTGGGGCAGGGGCCACAGGGACATGGGCCGGAGAACTCAAGGTCTGAGGGAGGCTGAGGCTGGCCGGTGCGGGGAGAGGATGAAAGGGAGGACTCGAGAGGGGCAGCACATGGGTACTGCAGGGTGCGTTTGGGAGGTAAAGCCTGTGTTCAGGGAAGGAATTGGCACTGGCCCTCATCCTGCCTGCACTACCCTCCTGTACACGGCAGATACCTTGCTGAGTCCAGCCACTGCGGGTTCATATGGTGGCGAGCAACACACCCACGGAGCTCCTGTCTGTCAGTGGCTGTTGTGAAACAAAACACATGAAATGCTCTCACTACAAAAATTATATGAGGCGATGAGTGTGTTAATTAGCTTAATTTACCCAAAATTCCTCAGTATATACCTGTATCAACACCACATTGTACCCCATAAATTTCTATTATTATTTGTCGAGTAAAAATGGCAAGATAGGAAACAGTATCATAAATGATTACCCTATGGGACAGAATATAGAAATGCCAGTGGTAATAAGGAAATCTGCTAAAAAGAAACAAAACCCAAATATCACTTCTTGGGCTCAGGTGAGCTGGGTGAGGCCCTGTCTGTGAGGTCTTTCTTCTGTATGCTGTCAGGCTCAGGTGAGTCGAGTGAGGCCTGTAGCTTTCCATATGTGTTAGAGGCTGAACAGATCCCTGATCCACCAAATCAGGCTTTCGACTGCTCTTCTCCAGTTAAATCGCATTCCTGGGGGCACAGGTGCACTGTGACTTCATTTATATGGTGTGATATACCTGTACCTTTTTTTTTCTTTTAAACAGGTGGTAACAAACAGGGATACACAAGAAACTCTCCTCTGCATGGCCTGTGTATTTGAAGTTTCAAATAGTGAACATGGAGCACAACATCATATTTACAGGCTTGTAAAGGACTGAACATGGTTATTTATATATATAGATATCTGTATATACACACACACATACGTGCACACACACACACTCTCCATTATCGAACGACTGACTGTAAACCTCACCACACAGGTGGTGCCCTGGCCCTGAGGTCACCCCAACTTTTCTAGATCCTGTTTGAGTGAAGTCATTTTTTCATGTGTTCATACTCTCATGGTAGCTGTGAAGTTCTGGTACAGTTGTAAAAAGAGAAATCGAGTTCTTTCGGTGTGTTCTTCAGATCTGCAGCCCACAATTCCTTGGGAAAGGTGAACCTTAATACCCGTCTCAATCTGTGGAGACCTGTTTCTTATTATGGTAGAAAATGTTAAGACAGAGCATTGGCCATGGGACATTTACTGCCTTTATACAAATGTATTTAGTTCTCATTTTTCCAACATAAAATTCTTGTTTTAAGATACAAGTAAAATTAATCTTTAAATATAAATGTAAATTAGTACACGAAACTAAGAATCTAGACTTATCTTTGTAACTAATTAGGGTGGAAGTTATAAAAGAATGTAATTCACTAAATTATTTTTTAAATGAAATCTTTCTTTCTTTTTGAAACCAAATGTTAAACTATAGCCTTAAGAAATGCTTGGTAGAAATATCCTAATGAGACAAATTTGTACTTTTCCTCAAGGTTAAAACTAATCTCCTAATCCATTAAACTCTTGAACAGATATTACAAAGGAAGAAAATTTTACCCCTTATCCTTAACATATATAGTATATTTAAAATGTAAAATTGTATTGTACTAATGTGATGATTGATTATTTAATGAAAAAGATATGGCTCTTTTGCAATAAGTAGATAAATACTGAAAAATCTAAACTTACAATGTTTATAGTCTTGTGTGTGCAGTTATATTTTATATGGACAACCAAATTTTTTATTAAGATGAGTAAATATTTGAACCACTGAAATTTAATAGCAAAAATTAAAATTGGCATGAATACTGCACTGTGAGCTGCAAAGTATAGAGAATCCTGTGGCTGGGAGAAAATTTCATCAACCAAACAAATAAAAAAAAAAAAGGCTCATCAGGTTTAGCATCTCTGCTCCCCAGAAAACTGCAAGCATCCTCACTAGCCTGTGGATAAATCCTTTCTAGTGACCCAACATGCATAGGAATCCACAGTGACTATAGCTGTGTGTGTGTGAGATGCCTGTGTACACTTATACACACACATGGTTTCTCAACACTTACTGAACATCAGTTTGGTGTGACTCAGTTTGTAAGGTGCTGACGAGTATTGTTTCCTGGTCTGCATCTATAGACTTAGATATATTCTCTCTAAGGACATCCATTTCTTTCACATCTCTCAACAAGCACTTGTTTGACTTAGGTTTAAGAGGCCCAGCTATTTCTCTCTGACCTTTTCAAACAGGCTCAATCTCTCTTTCCAGGAGAGATTCAACTTTCCAATCCAAGTATTCCAAAGTATTGCCCAGGCAAAGTTGGTTTGCGGTGGCCACATGTCTTGGGTTATTTCCATAAGTGCTTCATTGTGGGAGTGAAGAGGGGACTACCCCTGAACTTACCAGAGGAAAATGATGTTTTTTAACTGTTAGGAGTATGTGAACACAATAGAACATGAAATTCGCATTGTAAGTTGTAAAGAACTTAAGATTTTTTTTCACCAAGGCTTGAAGATAAAAACCGAGTTCTACCATAATCCAAATAACTTACATTCACCCCCCCCACCCCCACCCCGCTCTGGCCTTTCTTGTACATTGTTCAGATCATGTAGTCATGAGTGTGACCATGTAGCTGGCTTGTGGAAAACAGCCCAGCACTGGCCTGAGCCTGGCCTCTTCCACACCAGTCCGTAGTCACTGGGAAGCTCAGAGGACGATGTGCAGACTTTCTTATTTGGAATGCGTGTCCATTAACAAACCAGCAGGACACACTCGTCTTCCCCCTCAAAATGAGACTACCTTTGTTCCTGTTCCAACCTGGACTTTGTAGAATTGTCCTAGCATCTCCCACCCTTCCGTGTGGTCTTGAGCCCATCTGGTTAAGCGTCTACACAGTCATGTGATGAACATACCTCTTAGGAATATTTTTCTGGCTTCTATTTCCTGCATCTTTCATCAAGGGAGCCTCTTTCAAGACCAGGACTTAGGAACTGGTGCAAATGGTCTCATGTGGCTAACTTAGGGAAGAGATGCCTGGCTCCTATTCCACCGGGAGTGGGGCTCTTCTGTGCTCTAGGGGGAGCTCTTGGGGTTACCCGCTAAAGTACAAAATGGCAGGGACCCAGGAAGACCAGCTGGAGACTAACTTGACCCCTGCCTCACTGCCCACACCTTGCTCTCAGTGCCCTTGCAGCTGAGGTGTGGGGGGTATGAATATCACTGAGAATTACATTTGGCTTTTAAAACATCTGTAAGATTTTAAATCCTTCTCAGGATTTCTCCAGGACAATCACTGGTCTAGTTACCCCAAACTCTTGAGCTGGCTTTTCTTTGTCTCTCCCAAATGAGACCATTGGATGGGATTTGTATCCTCACCTCTGATCTGAGTTTCTTCGATCCTTTGTCGTATGTGCTTCTTCCTTCTCCTTTGGTCTTAAAGCCTTCCTAAACAATAAGGACACCTCTGCAATACCTTACTGCTCCTCTCTTCTGGGTGCTCTCTGTCCTGAGGCCCCTCATTGCCACGTTTGCAGGAGCTGCTTGCACTCTGACTGCAGAGTTTGGAGGCCAGTTTTCCACAGGGAGGAGCTGGCAAACAGGGCTCTCTTCTGTTGGCATTTATTTCTATTGCAGTAAGAGATCTAAAGAACAACCAGGATTTCAGAACATGTCCAGAATCTCAGGAGTGTCCAGGCATCCTGAGACTAGGGTTTTTCCACCTCAACACTATTGGCGTTTTGTACCAGATAATTCCTTGGGTGGGGCCGTCCTAAGCATTACAGGAGGGTTGCTAATATTCCTGGCCTCTATCCAGTAGCACCCCCTTACCCCAGTTGTCACAAGTCATAATGTTCCAGACATGACCACATGTCCCACAGGCTTCAATATCACTCCCAGTCTTGAACGACTACCCTGAATCTTAGGGTCATATTAGCACCTTGGTGATGGTTTTCTCTTCCATTTCATCCTGCAAAAGCCCTCTCCTGGGAACCTTGTTTCAGGTCCTCAAGAGGCAGGCAGGTGGGAATATTAATCGAGTGACATCTTTTCATGTTTCCTTTTATTTAGAAACTTCTTCATAATGGTCTCTCAACAAGTATTCTTTTGCTCATCCCTGGGGAAGTTAAAAATCAGCCAGTCACTGTCATCCTTGCTATTAACTAACACCTATTTAAAAAGCATTTCTGATTTGACTTTCAGCCCTGAGTTTACCAAGGGTTTTAAAAAAAGAATCTAGTCATTTTCATTGGCATCAGCTCATGGATGTCATTATCAAACCTTCCATCGCTTCAGTGTATTTCTTCTGTGCTGTTGGTACATTCTGCGTTCCAATCAATGCTGTTTGTAGAATTTACTGAAACCTCCGGAACATTTTCTCTTCATCTTTAGGAAGGGAAGGAGGGAAGAATCTTGTGGCAGAAAGGGATTGATAGCATTTTTCTTTCCTGAGCTAAAAGAGAGCACGAGTTAGTCCTTTGTCTTGTGGATGAGAAGGTTGGTGCCGGGGACATGGGATGGCTTGCCCAAGTCACCCTACTGGCCCGTGACAGAGTGAGAGTGAGGACTCTTTAGGGCTCTGCCTCCTTAATCCTTGGCCTCTTATTGTAGAGGCTGTTCTTCCTCAGTGCTCTGTGCTTACGTGACCCCAGGAAGGCATGGACAGGGTTGCTCAGACAAGGGGGTGATGCTGCAGCCCAGGGTCACCTGCTGCCCACATCGCATGCCTCCGCCAGCCCTGGCCTTCGAGGCATCCACAAGCAAGTAGGAAAAGCTGATGAGCCTTTTCACTTCCTGTGAGGAGGGCATTTCACCGGCCACAGGCTCTGAGTCAAATTTCTATTTGCTGAGCATCCCAGCAGCAAAGTCCTGCCTTCAAGCCAAAAAATCCGCCCCAACCTGAGCACTTGGTGTTCAAAGTCCCCAGGAGACTTTCAATCCCAAGGCTTCTTTAGGTTTCAGTACTGTGCTGCCTTTAGCCACCATGAATTATTTGAATCATATGAGATGACAGCCAGTTTTACAAACCAGGTACATATAATTTGTATACTTTTGTATATGCTCTGGTACACTACATGTGTCCTACCGAAGGGTGGAGCTCATTCTGTCAGTGTTCACACCTGTGACACTAGGGGGACATCTGCATTGCTTATTTCTTTATGTTGATGTTTCTGTGGCAAAGCCCTGCACGCATCATTTCTGAAAAGCCTTAAATCTCGGAGGCATTGCTTGTAGGTTCTGCAGTGCAAGAGGCTGCCTCGGAACTGTGAGCCCTTTTGTAAGCTGGAAGCATTTCTCTCACTACTGTTACTTTTTTAGGACGTTTTCAATTCAGAGCTGCCAAAGCGTTCAGTAAGCAGTGCCTTAGTCGTACCTTAGTCGTGCCGCCAGCCTTCTCTCACACCTATCTCAGTGTCTGCTCATGAATTGGCCCAGTCTTTGAAACAGGACAAGAAAAACTTGTTTTTGTTATTTTTCTCCTTGAGCCCATTTTTCTCTGGTTCTATTGGAAACTGGCGACTTGGTCTAAAATCTGAAACTGAATCCAAGTCAGTTCTTTGACCACACTCTCCAATGTCTATACCAAAACAAAAGGTTGCAACTCTGTAGTTTACTATGAAAAGTAAATTGTACTTTTATTGTTGCCTTTTGAATTCATGACCAAATACTTAGCTATTTGTGAATCTTCTGCACTCTAGCATGAAAGTGCCTTTGGTTTGAGATTCCAGCTTAGAAAAGTGCTGCCATAATAACGATAATTTGTAGAGAGACCAAAAATAATTTGAGATCACCATAATGCCTTTGGTTTACCGGGATGAGTAACCAGCCACAGGCCTCTGTCACAAGAGCACAGCATAGGCCGCCTGCTGCAGGTCTGTCCGCTGGGGGACCCCGCCTGCACTCAGCCACAGCACACCACAGCAGGAGGGACCCCCAAACTGTTGTGCTGTGTGTACCGACCACCCGGTGTGTCATTTCCGCTCATCAGCCAGCCCTGCATCCACGTGAAGGAATTTCCGCACACACAACGGAATCTCAGCCTGTGGACAGACGTGATGGCTTTCGCCTTCTCCTTGTGTCTGGAGTCTCTGTGGAGACTTTCCTTTCCACTCACGTGACAGCGCGCACTTATCTGATGTACACGATGATACCATTTCGAAAGTTGGAAGCCTCAAACTGAGATGACAGTGCAGAACAAAAAATGTGTTAGGGTCATCACAATTGAAGTGTTCTTAGGGCAAAAATGTTGACTCTGAGTGTTGTGTGTGAACGTGCTATGAGAAACTTCCAAAGAGCACCATTTGAAATTCGGCCTTTGCAAAGAATGTTCCAGCCCTTGAAGGGGTAGCTGTGGAGTCTGTGTCCGCTTTTATCCAAACCTTGTCTAAATTGGGAAAACTGATTGAGGTGAGAAAGAGGAGCGAAAAGGACGAGGCCAAAAAAAAAAACTAAACAAAACACAAAACACCAGCCAAAAAGAAGCCGGGAAAAAAATGATTTTTTTTTTCCTGCTAACATTGATGTAAAAATAACATCAGACACCTTTGAAAGTTACCCTCTAAACTCTTAATACATTGTTCTGTCTGTCTGTCCCTGGTGTCTGTAGCCTCTTTAGGCTCTGCAGTTCTACCCCAAGTTGTGAGTACTTATAAAAGTTCCATAAACAAACACTATGAAAGGAAAAAGAAAATTACTCCATACAACTAACCACAGGGTTAGCTGCTTGAATTCTCAGCTGCTCCCCATCAGGACTATACCACAACTTGGAAGAAATTAGTCAGATATGTGTTTTTCTGCTCCTCTTTTGAGCTGTTAATTGTGTTTTGTTTGATAATAGTTTGCTCTCATAGACTGCTTATATCTTTAACAATGAAGGTTTTGTGTTTAAAATGTATGCATTGCAAAGGTAGTTTCACTGAAGTCATGCATCCTTAAATAAGATGAAATATTTGTATTTATTGTCCTACTTTCTAAGCGTAACTTGTTTTACTCTGTGAATTTGCATTGAGTCACTCATACACCGCAATTCGTCATTTTAATATTGGAAATGGATGGCATCAGAATTCATTAGATTGCACTGTGTTCCGGTTGCCAGTCGTCTGCCTCCCATGATGAGATGGCTCTGCTGTCCTAAGAGAGGTAGACAATCCAGGCATCAATCAATTGGAAATCAGTCCCTGATTTTTTTCATTTTTTTGCATTAATCATTTTCTGTGATTAGTTCTCACTGTGTAAATTATGTTAACTGTACTTCTTTAAAAAAATGTGCATCTATCTCCCCATTACCTCCTTATAAGATTTACTTCTGTATGCCTTTTTTTTTTCAGTAGGCTTATAATTACAGACAAGAAAAAAACAAGTAAAAACAAAAACAGTACGTGCCTAAAAAAATGACAAAAAAATTTTTTGTAACATTTTAAAAAACCTGAATAGCCTTTACTTCTTTAATATACTCAAATTTTTATGTAAATTGGTTTTTGCCACGTGTGTTTGTTCACATTCTAAACGACTTAATGGATTCTCACAGTCTGTCTCTGTCCCGTGTGTAGAACGGGCTTGTGATGTAAGCGTTTCATCTGGTCAGTGGTTCCTTTGATATTGTACTGCTGCTGGGATGGGGCTGCGGAACCTGCCTTTGCGTAACAGGTTCCTCCGGGGTAGATTGGAAAGATGAGGGTGGGGTGGGCAAATTCACACACGTTTCCTTAACCTATTTGCAGAAATTTTCAAAAGGCATTTGGTTAAACCTCTTGGCAGTACAGTATTCTTGTATTTGTTAATGTTTGTGTTTAGGTACTGGTACCTTTTTTGTTTAAAAATGTTCTAAGTGTTGGCTTTAAAGTGAATTTATCTTTAGTATGATAGTTATATGAAAATTATAGGATTTGTGTGCAGAGAATTTTTTTATAAAGTGCTTTGTAAAAAAAAAAATATGTATTCTAGCTTTCGCGGTACATATGTGTGATAACTTTAATATCCATGACAGTTAAGTGCAATTATTTCATCACTCTAAAAATGCTATTTTTGTGTCAGTTCCTGCAGGTGTTTTCATGTCTTTGCAAAGTGACACATTTTGATGCCTTCTTGATAAAAGTGGTAGACATTTTGTAGCTTTCTAGAAACTTTGTATTCATACGGTATCAATGAAAAATAAAGAAAATGAAAGTGTGGGTCACCTTTTTTATCTGCAAAAGTGTGTGTTGCTGAGAATGAAATTGCCTTATGTGTGGGGAGTGACATGCAGGAATGTCAAGGAGGTCAACACTGTGGTCCATTTGATGATGCTCACCAAGCCCAGTCCAGTAATTAGAACTTTAGGAATTAGATCTAACTGTTTCTTAAAATCGGCCACAAGGCAGTCCCTCAAGACTTTGTGTCTCTCTTTAGTACTGAATATTTCAGAACAACTTATCTGGATCCCAGACACACCCTGAGAAGCCAGATCCCATGTACCACAACAGAATCTTCAGACAAAAAGCATTTATTGTTGTTAACCCAGCTTGTGGGGCACATGCAGGAGCCAGGCAGGGGTAGAACACAGGGTGAGGATTCAGAGGTAAATAGCATGATTCTGCCTGGCTGGTGCTTATGTTCTCTCTGGGCGTGGCCTCCTGGCCTTTGTGCTCCCATCTCTGAGGACTTTGATCCACTTGTCTGAAGCATGCACATCCAATGTGTTGGCACAATGTATCTAGATTGTGTCCTTTGTCACCATAGCCCCAGGGACATTATTGCCTGCAAACTGAAGCTCCAGAAAGCCAGCTCATCAAAGTTAGGACTGTAAGAGGTAGGGCCTTAAATAAGGTCACCCTGACCCTTCCACCTGGGTTCATGGCCTCTGCATTTTGGTCGTGCATGTACTGTGAAGCAGCTCAAGGCTAGGGGAGAAAGAACTTTCTTAAATCACAGTGACCTTGGACTTCTGATAGACCCTTCTGTATCCTGGGATCCTTAGTTTGAAAACCAGACCTCAGAGGATCTTGCTTCTCCCTATTTCTTTGAAATAAAAGCTGCTTGAAATCCCAAGAAGCCCTAGAGGAGACCATGAATGAGAACTAACATGCTCATGCTTTGGAAAAAATGTCTTTTCAGACAGCCACTGTTGGTGAGGAAGGCTGTTGAAGGCTGTTGGTAGATGATTTAGCAGCTGGGGGGGGGGGTGGCTGGTGCATCTGGTTGGCAGCCTGTTGGCTGCCAGGCGTATACTCTTGGAAAAAAGAAGTCTGCTTTTCTATTGGAAAATAGGCTTCTGGTAGATTGACTGTGTCTTTTCAGTAAATATTCTCCGATTTGCTTTGGCTTCCAAGAAGCTGAGGCTTAGAATTTGTGCCCTGTGCAATTGATAAGGACCCAGCTAAAATTTAAGGCACAGAAAGATTGAAAATAAGTAAAAAAATGGATGCCAGCAAATAAAACATCAAAAGAGAGCTAATTTAGGTATATTATCTCTAATATAGCTCAAGACAAAGATTAATTGCTAGAGTTAAGGAGGATTACTTCAAGATGGTATGAAAAATAAAGATACTAACCTTGTATGCACCTAATAATAGCTTCAAATTATAAAAACCAAAATTGGACAAATTCGTTACCATTCTGGGAGGTTTTTAAACATCTAAACTCTTTGTTACACCTCCCACCTGATAGTATAAAGGATATGAACATTTTAATGTCCTGTTCTAATTTACCAAATACAAAATAATGAACCCCACAATTAGAAACTGTGTGTTTATTCTAAAGTACACAGAGTTTTTATAAAATTGGCCTGCCCAAAGGCACACACAGAGCAGGATACTATGGCCTGTAGGCCAAATCTGGCCCACTGTTTTTGTGAATAAAGATTTACTGGGACAACACAGCCACTCCATTTGCTATAGGCTTAGGTCCCTAAAGGATGGGTAAGGAAGGAATGGTGGTTTTTTTGTCATTGTCACACCTCATGCCTTCTCGTCCAATCTGAATGTTTTATGATTAAAACAGTAAAAAAAAAAAAAAAAGTTAAGTACACCCCTGAGCCCATCTGTCTTAGTAATTTTCCTCGTCACTGAGACACAACACCCACAACTTAATGGAGGAGAGGTTTATTTTGGCTCATGATTTTTAGAAGTTTCAGTCCATAATTGCCTAGCTCCATGGCAGGAAGGGCAGAGAGAGTGGAAGAGTCTGAGCAGAAGATAGTTGCTCATCCTATGGCAGCCAGGAAGCAGTGAAAGAAAGGAAAAGCTGGGGAAGAAGATACGCCCTTCCAGGTTATGCCCTCAGTCTCCCACCTCCGTGCAGGCCCTACTTCCAAACTTTATACCCATGGTCCCCCGTTAACAGGTCAGCATTGCTGAGAAGTCCAAGGCCAAAGTCTTCTGAGACTCAAGGAAAAGTTAGCTGTGAGCCCAAAGGGAAAAAAAATCACAAAGAAAATTACTTGCAACAGACAGTGACATAAGGTAAATACTCCCATTCCAAAAGGGAAGAACGGAAGGATAGAAAAGAATTTGGACCAAAGCAAGATCAAAACCCAACAGGGCAAACATTAAATCCTGTATCACTTTGTCCAGTACACAGGGCTGATTGTACTGAGATGTGAGCCTGAAAGGGCTTGGGTGCCCATCCCCTAGAGCAGCACCGGTTGCAGCCCTCATACCCTCTCTTGAGGTGGCTCTGCTCACTGCCTGCACCTTTCCTCAGTGGATGTTCATGTACCTGGCATCTCTGTGGCACTTTTAAATGCATCTTCCTCGGATCTCCAAAGCACTTCTGGCTTCAGTCTCTCAGCTTCATCCATTGCTATCTCAGAAGCACACTCCCTGGCCTCCTAGGCTGCCTTCTCAACCTGAGTGGAAGCCTCCCTGACCCCACAGCTCTTGTACTTGCATGCCCACAAAGCCAGCACCCTGTCAATGACACCAAAATCAGCCACCAGCTAAAGTAGCAGCATGTTCCCCTTTCATTGCTGTAGAGGCCTCTGAGTACTTTGATGTCTAAGGACTGTAAAATGAATCCCTGGGAACCCATTTTCCTGGGTGGCCCTTCTTGAGCAGGGCAACCTAGGGCTCTTTCAAAGCAAAGTCTTTCAAAGGAATTTACCCTTACCCTTTTACATCTTTGTGCTTTCAAAATGTCTCGGGTCTTGCTGATTTCAGAGATGCCCTCAAGCAGTCTTTCTGGTGTCCTGATGCAAGAACTTAGCTTCTCTTTAATGCTAATCTTTTCAGAAACCATCATCTTCAAGGCCCCAACTTTGCAGGTACTTCATTTGTGACCAAGCTTTCCATCATTTGTCTCTGGTTTTTGCTTCCGATTTTCACTCTAAATCTGGCTAAAAGCAGAGAGCAATATCCATACTCCAGCCTGAATGTTGGGGTGTCTTGAAATTTCCTCTGCCAAGTTAATTCACTGCCCTTAATCTCAATCCCCAGCAAAATCTCAGGACATGGACAGAATGTTGACACATTTCCTGCCAAAGTGTAATACACATGGTCCTGAGTCCAGCTGAGGTAGGGTAGAAGTCATAAAGATAGGTAGAAAGGAGACAAGAAAAATCATTTAAAATTTGTTTTAAAAAACCACCTTCAGGTCATGAAGTCAGTTTAAATTTTTTCCCAAGACACAGTAAGCCTGGGAAATCACTTCTACCTGCAAATGGGCCTCTTTCACCCGTGCATAGGCCATCTCTTTTCACGTGTAAAATCAGGTGAATTTTACTTATGGAGGGACCACCGCTCTGTCACCTGGGATGGTTGTCATCTATGAATGGGCCATTGCCCTTCCCCTGCAGAAAGAGCTGTCACCTTTCATCTATAAATTAAATCCCCTCTTCCCATAGATTCACAAGTTCTGCAGATTTCAACGCCCAAAACTTACAAGTGAGCCATCCCCAAACTATGGCATTTCTTATTTCTCTGAATCACTGCACTCTACTTCATGTGCACTTTAAAAATTCTGTGTAATCCCTTTATTGCCTTTTTCTGATTAGTCTTCAAAATTCTTTCTCTGTGATAGGAGCCCGCAGACCTGCTGCTTATCCTGCAGGTAGGATGGGTTTGGGTTTCTCATTGCCACTTTGGGAACCTCCTAGGACCCTGTCTGGTGACAGCTGCCAAGGGAGTTCTTGTTCCCAACTGAAACCTCCTGAGCCTGGCCTCTACCATCTTACATTTCTATCCACATTCTGAGCTTCTGAGCTCTGACCAGCATCTCCCATCATGCTTGGTTTACAACATTCCAGGTTTTCTCTAGCTGACATCGCCAAACCTTTCCAAACTCCTCCTGTGGACCAGTTCCAGAGGCTCTCAAACCACATGGTTAGGTGTATTCCTAGCAGTGACCCCACTGTCCTAGTACCAAAATCTTAGTCATTGTCCTTGTCACTGAGACAATACCCAACACTCAGCACAACTTAAAGGAGAGGTTTATATTGGCTCATGGCTTTTAGGGATTTCAGTCCATAGCTGGCTGGCTGAAAGGCAGAAAAGGTATGGTGGAAGGGCCTGGGCAGAAGAGAGCTGCTCATCCCGTGGCAGCCAGGAAGCTGAGAGAGAAGGGAGGAGGTGGGGAGGGAGATTCACCCTTCCAGGTTATGGCCCCAGGGACCACCTCCAACCAGGCCCCACATTCTAACAGCAAGGCAGCTGTAGTGCCACTACGATCCAATCACCTTCCAAAATCCCCACCTCTGAATGCATGAGGCCTTAGGAGTGCACTCCAGCTCTGAACCACACTATCCTCTATTGTGTCCTTGCTCTCCCGTGGTCTGTTCAGCCATCTCCAGAGACACCTGTGCGGCTGCACTCCTTGGGGCCTATTGTATTTACTCCTTTGCCTGTGACAGCTAAGTGCTGCCACTTGGCCACTGCTGCTCCAGAATCCTATCCTATCCGTTTGCTCAAGGGAAGCCAACATACGAATATCTCTGACCATCCACCCTGGCCTGCATGCCACCACTGAGTTTCTTAGCAGCATTGGTGCCCAATCACCAGCACATTCATTATGGACTTGAGGTGCACATACACAGACAGTGAGCACTCTGGTCTTAAATTGTCCATCCATCCCATGAGCCTGGCCTTGGTGAGCTTTCTGAGCCCTGCCTTAATACTTTGCTAAGGCAGTTCTAGCACCTTGGCCTCATTTAATAATCAAGCAGTGAGAGAAAGTTGGGCAGATCTTGGGGAGGCAAGCGCTTTGTTTT